GGAACCACTGCCCTACTCAAATATCACCTCCTCCTGAAGGCTTCCCAACTCTCCCATCTGCTTCCCCACGCTAGCAGAACAAATCCTCTCACTGCTGTTCTTTTTGGTTTTCATTCAATCCACAGTCACTGACAGCCTTGTCCATGCCGGCCTGGGGCACCCAGGGGTGGATCAGGGCGGCCTGTACCCTCACAGACCTCCATTCGTGTACAGACATGCTGCCTGAGAGCTGGCATTTCACTCGGAGCTACCTGTCCCCTGAGAGCTGGGGCCCAGCCGTGGCCGTCTGTGTCTTCTCTAGTCCGGCACAGCCCTGGGCACAAGGTGGATGCAAATAGGAGTTTTCACGATGAGTAATGACAAGGCTCATTGAGGGGTGGGAAGTGCTGAGGAGGGCCTCTGTGGACCCTGCTCCCCAGGCCCAGGGACAGCACTGTGGCCTCTGGGAGGAAGTGTCTGGGCTGGTCCCTGCTAGCAGAGCTGTCACCATCCTGGAAAACCCCATGGCCTTAGCCTGGGGCCAACATCCAGACCCAAAGGAAAGTCCCCCAGCAAGTCCGCCCAGCTCCCAAGGTGGGGTCTAAGGCAGTGGCAAAGGTCGCTCCAAGGGGACACTCATCTCAAAGCCCAGCCTCTGATGGATCAGAGCTCCTTGGGCGGCGGGGGGGGCAAGGAGGGCAGGGCTGGAGTTGGCAGGAGCGCAGGGGAGGAAGGAAACAAGAAACAATCAAGGAAAAATTTAACCCAGGCCTGGGGTTGGCTCAGGTCACGGAGCCTTGCAGCCTGAGCTCAGTCTGGGATGGAGGAGGCTTCCTAGGGGTTTGGGGGGGGGGGGAGTGTGAGGAGGGGAGAACTGAAGGCTCTCTACGGACCTCATCTCTCACTGACCTCCTAGATGCCCCCTTCCCTGGGGACTCCCTGCTCCCAGACCTGCCCCCAGACTCCTGGTCCCCATCGTCCCACCTGCTTCCCAGGGCCCTAGGTTCCCAGGTAAGTGGGACCACAGACAGCTGGCTCCAGCCTGGGGCTCCTTCCCTGCCAGCCCCTTCCTCACCCCAGCCATCCTTGGAGAAGGGACTTTTGACCGGTTCCCCTGGACCCACTGGGGGGTTGGGCCTGCTGACGCGAATGATTTCCAGGAAGAAGAGTCTGGGAGGGGAAGGAAGGGCTGAGTCAGTCCCCGGGTGGTGATTACAGGGTTTTTTGGGGGGGGGGGGGGGGGAGTGGCCGTGGGGTTGCGGGGAACAGAATGGACTGGGCCCATCCCAGGGCCAGGGAGGGGCTCACACTGAGGAGGAGGAAGTTGAATACCCCGTTCAGGGCGTTTTGCCATGGCAGCCTTCCTTGCCTCTAAATTCTCCCAAACATCCTGCAGGGTCCTCCCCCTCAGCCACCAGGCTGTCCAGGAACCCTTCCAGCAAGAACAGTGCAGGCTCTGGCTGAGGCATCGGACCCGGGCCCTGAGCATGGGGTGCAGGCTGGGGTGGGGGGCAGCAGCTGGGGCGATTGGCCTGTGTCTGTTGGGTCATAACAGCAGGACACCCCAGCCATCCCCGGGCTCAGGATCCCAGCCTCCCTGCCCACACGCAGGCCCTGCACACAGCCTGAGAGGTTACGTAAAAAAACCAATTTTAGTAAATGAGATTCTGGTTTATAAATGCTCCTTAATTGCAGGGCTCCCTGGGCAGCTGGGCGTGTACACAAAGGTCCTGTCCACTCAGCACATCCAGGAGGAGCCGGCAGCAGCTCCCGGGCTTCCCTGGCCCCAGCCAAGGGCTAGAACTTCACCTGTGAATGGGGAGCGGGAACCATCTACCTGAGCGCTCGCAAAGCGCAGACCCACGGCCCGGCACAAATCATGCCTTGGATGTGGGCTTGGCGGAGGGCCCTTGCTCCGGCCGATGGCACTAGTCCACAGAGCAACAAGGGGACCCCGCACTAAATGGAAGCCTGTCACACCCAGGTGTCCTTCCTTAACGGTCCCCGAGCGCAGATGGTAGGTCCTCTGGCTTCTGGCCCTGACCTGGCGGCTAGGCCGGACTGATCACCAGACCCTGAGCGAGCAGGGGCTTGGGCCAGGCTGGTGTGGCCGAATAGGCTGCTCTTGACCCATCCCCCACCGCTCCCCAATCCGACCCCCTGAACCCCTCCAAAGAGCTCCGGGGTGGGTTTCGGGCTTTCTGTGGCCTTGGGTGAGGGTCTGCTGCTCTAAGCTTCCATCCCTGCAACTTGGTTTCGTCGTTAACTCTGGATGGAGCTTCTGATTCTTCCTGACCCCCTTCCCCCCAGTGGCGGACTCTCAGCGAATGAGCAGGGGGCTGGGGGCTGCACCTCAGGCACATTCCCGCAGGTTCAGGGGCTTCATCGCTGGAGTCATTCCGGGGCAGGTGGCAAGGCCAGCCCGCTTCCCCGAAGCTCCTGTTACATCGTGTCCATGAAACCGTCGCCTGCCGGGGCTATGTGTTTCCATCAGCGAAACACACACACTCCCTCATCTTGTTTGGGGCTCACTTAACTCCCGTTTTACAGGCAAAGAGGTTCAGAAAGGGACTGTCCTTTTTTAAATATATTTTTATTAATTTGAGAGAGGAAGGGAGAGGGATAGAGAGATAGAAACACCAATGAGAGAGCGACATCGATCGGCTGCCTCCTGCACATCCCTTACCAGGGATCAAGCCTGCAACCTGGGCGTGTGCCTTGACCAGAAATCGAACCTGGGGCTTCTGGGTTCAGGGGCCGCTCAACCACAGAGCCACACCAGCTGGGTAGGGACTGTCTTTTATCCGCAGCCACAGAACACGTCAGCAGCAGAGCCGGGGCTCCCTGCTCACCCTGGGCCCAGGGCTCAGGGGCCGTGCTCAGGGCTGGGCAGAGCTGCCCCACCCCAGACTGTGTTGTGGGAGGGAGGGGCAGGCAGGGGTGACAACGGCTAGGCGAGCATCTGAGGGGGGGAGGAAGGCCGAGTCTGCGTGTCTTGACACTTTCAGGCCAAGCAGGTTACTGTCCGTGGCCCTGGCTTTGGTTTCCAGTTCTGTAAAGGGGGGTAGTGAGGCTGGCTCTGCCCACCTGGCTGGGCTCTCAGGGACAGGAAGCTCTAGGTAAGGGGCACAGGCAGGCCTGGGTGGGTGGCTGCCTGCTGAGCCTGGGTGGCAAGAGGGGGAAGAGGTATAACTCTTACCCACCTGCATCAGTTTGGCCCAGGGCCACCATGTCCCCTCTCTCCGCTGCCCAGGCCAGTTTTCCTCTGAACCGCCAGGCCAGTTCCGGCAGAATCTACCTAATGAATGCTTCCTGGAGAATTGAGGGAGGAGCCGGGAAGGAGCCTGAAACTTCCCTTTATTAGTTTTCTATTGTTGCTGTAACAAACTTGGAGGCTTAAAGGGACACAGATTTGCTAAGGTGCAGCTCTACCGGTTAGAAGTCCAATATGGGTCCCACTGGGCTAAGATCGGGGTGTTGGCAGGGCCATGGTCCTCTGGAGGCCCCAGGGGAGTGTTCACTTGCCTTTTCCAGCTTCTTGCAAGCATGTCAAACTCTCGGCCGAGGCATGTAGCCCACCAGTTGCGAGTCTGACATGCTTGTGACTAGAGGCTGCCAACATTCTTTTGTTTGTAGCCCCCTCATCCATCTTCAAAGGCAGCAACAGAGCATTTCTCTGGCCCATCATCCATTTCCATAGCCCTTTCTTGGACCCTCCTTTTCTGTCTCCCTCTTCTCCTTTTAAGAACTCTTGATATTGCCCTAACCGGTTTGGCTCACTGGATAGAGTGTCGGCCTGCGGACTGAAAGGTCCCAGGTTCGATTCCGGTCAAGGGCGCGTACCTTGGTTGCGGGCACATCCCCAGTAGGGAGTGTGCAGGAAGCAGCTGATGGATGTTTCTCTCTCATCGATGTTTCTAACTCTCTATCCCTCTCCCTTCCTCTCTCTAAAAAATCAATAAAATATATGTTTTTTTAAAAAAGAACTCTTGATATTACACAGAGCTCACCTAGATAATTCAGGATAATCTGCCTATTTTTAAAAAGTATTTTTATTGATTTTGAGAGAGAGGCAGGAAGGGAGAGGAAGAGAGAAAGAGAAACATCTATGTGAAAACAGCTGTTGGCTGCACACCCCTGCACTGGGGATGGAGCCCACAACCCCAGACATGGTCAAACCAACAACCTCTTGGTACACGGGACCACACTAATCTGCCTATTTTAGTCAGTTGGTTAGCAACTACAATTTCATCGGCAACCTGAATTATGATTTGCCATGTAATGGAACCTGTTCACAGGTCCCGGAGACTAGGACATGGACATCTTTTTTTTTTGGGGGGGGGATCATTCTGCCTACCACTTCTCCCCATCCTTTCCTCCTTCCTGACTTGGCTCACCCCACCCCCTCTTCCTGCAAATCAATAAAAAATATTTTTTAAAAAGAGTGCGTGAATGAATGAAGAACCAACGTTGTAACAAGGCTAAGCATGGATCCCACCCCTGCTTCCCTCCGAAGAAGCCACCTAGCCTGAACCGCAAATCCGGGCCCAGGCCGCTCCACCTGCCCACCGCAATGCCCTCTTCTTATGGGGACAGTAATTCCTGGAGGCTCTCGAAAGTTTGTGATATTATAATGCAGGCTCTTCAACGCCTCATTCATTTCCAGAGCAGTCACTGAAGACACTTGTGCAGACGCCTCCCTGGCCCAGCCCTCCAGGGAAGGAACCGGTCCAGAGACGCTCTTGGGATTCTGCAGAATTCACTCTTCCAACTGCCGCCCCCTCGGCCCTCCTAGAGCTGAAACATTTAGGTTCCGACGGGCACCGCCGGAGTCCACGGAGTCCAGCCAGGCACTCGGTGCCGCCTGGCTCGCAGCCGCAGGAGCTGGACTGGACCCCCAGAACCGCTCCTGCTCCCAGGCGCGGAGCTGCCGCGGGAGCCGAGGCGGGGCCGTAGGAGAGGGGCGGGGAGTGGGCGGGGTCTGTCCGGGGAGGCCCGGCCATTGGTTCCGCGGGCCCGGGGCGGGGCTTCAGGGACCAGGTCTGCACAGCAAGTTCCCAGCGCGAGTCGGCCGCCGGGTCCAGCTCCGGAGCTGCTGCCGCCCGCGAGCCCGCCGCCTGCGCGCTAGAGGTGAGTTCACGCTGGGCTTCTGCAGCCGGACCGGCTTCCGAGGGGTCGCCCGAGAGGCCCATCCCTGTGGCGCTCCGTCACCCCGGCTCCCATCTCACCTCCGCGCAGGTCCTTTCCCCGGTGTTTCCCGCCCGCGCCTCGGTCCCAGCGGCCACACCCGAGCCCTCTCTGCCTGTGGGGCGCCGTGCATCCCGAACCCGAACCCCTGATCCGCCCTCCATCCTGCGCCTGAGCCACCCTCGCCCCGCCGGGGCCCCGGAGTGCCTTCCTTCCGCCCTGTGTCCCCACCCGGTGTTGTTGGGAGCCTGTGTGCAGGGCTAGGGGTCGTATTTTTAGCGGATGGTGAGGTGTCCTCCTATCTTTAGCCACGGCCGCGAGCGTCCTGAAACGGATCCGGGCTGGGCTGGGCTGGGCTGGGCTGGGCTGCGCTGCGCTCCGGGAGAGGGCGGGGAGGGATCGGCGCCGGAACCCGAGCTGGGGCTGAGGAGCGGGGCCCGCGGGAGCCAGGGGTGGGGGCCCGCACGCCGAGCTCTGGCCCTGCGCCGAGTGGACACTCGGACGTCGCCCAGGCCGGAAAGCACGGGGGAGGCTCCTCCCAGAGCTGGGAGACCCGCGCCGGGTCCCGATCGCCCTTTCCCCTCGTGATTGTCTGATTGTGAGACAGAACCCCCTACACCCCCAAGAGGAGAAGATCCCGCAGACCATCCGCATCTGGTGCGCGAACGGGAGGCTCCTTGGGGGCGCCCGCCTGCAGCCGGAGGCGCGCTGGAGACCCCGGCGCGCGCCCGGACTCCTCCAGGACTCGGAGGCACAGACAGAGCGCGCGCGCGCCACCTAGCGACCGCGGGTTCCAGCGCCGCCCCGGGATCTCGAGAGACAGGCACCCCCCCACCCCCCACCCCCGACCCCCGTACCCCCAGCCTCCCCAGGCCTGCGAGGGGGATTCTTCGCTGGCTGTGCTGGGCGGGCGAGAGGAGGTGGACGCCTGGGGCCAGGGGCCCTTGGTTTTTTATCTTGTCGGGAGCACTGTGTCCAGATCACAGAAGTGCCTGGGGGAGGCCCTACAGCTGTTTGCCGAATAAAAGGCCTGGCTGACGGTGACATTGCTGCTCTCAATTGCAGTATAGCTGTAGGGTCTCCAGGTGCCGGCTGGTGATGGCTTTATTGTCAGCCCATTGTATGGATGGGGAAGGTGAGGGCCAGAGAGGAAAGGTGTCTTTCCCAGAATCAGAGTGAATCCTACGTGGAGATGGATTTAAGGTGGGTCTCCTGATTGTAAGGTCTGGCTGCTCTTAGAACGGCCCTGGTCCGGGTAGGGAGTGGTCTACTATTCCTTGTGATGGGAGGTCATTTTCTCTGAAGGAGGCCCAGCGTGGCTGGGTCCCAGTGCCCAGCCTCCCTCAGCAAAGTTATTTAATGTCTCCGAGGCTCAGCTTCTGCCTCTGTGAAAGGCAGTAACGACACCCACCTGGGCTGCGTCTGGGAGCTTTAAAATGGAAGCTGTGCAAGGGCGGCTGGAGACGGGGGTCTTGTGGTTGCCAAATTTGAATTCCTGGGGCTTGATGGTTGCAGTTCCCAGCTCTCCCCTGGGTGGCTGATGCTGGCCCAACCCTTCCTCGATAGCCTGTTCTCCCCACATCTGGAATTGGGCGGTATCTCTGGCTCTGAGTGAGACAGCTGTCAGGGACGCCCAATTTGTTGTGGAAACGCTCAGGCTGTCTTGGCACCCCTGTGTAATGGGGCCGGGGGGACCTGGCCCAGGCTCTGAGCAATCCCACCAGTCAGCCCCACTCTCCATGAGCAAAGAGGAGGGAAAAGCCACCCAGGACTTCTCGCCTGCCAAGGAGACAGATAGAATGTGTGTCAGCACGCGCCCTCCCCCCCAGGCTGGCATGGTGGGCATCTGTGAGGTGAATGAGGGGACTCTAAGGCCTTGAGGCACCCATTGCCGCCCCCTCCTCCCCCCAGCTCCTTCCAAGCTTAGCTGGAATTCCCACACTGGAGATTTAGTCCTTTGTTTCCTGTTGAGCTGCAGGTGCTCCGGGAGGGGCAAGATGTCCGGTCTCTGTGGCTCAGCGTGATTGACCCTGGGTGTCCGGTGCTGGGGTGGGGTTTCCTCAGTGGGAGCCTGGGCTGAGGGGGTGATTCTGCCACATCTGCATCCTCCTGCCTCCTTCCTGCCTCCTCCCGCCAGCCCCTCATCCTCCCCTCACCCTGCCCAGGATAAGGGGGCAGAGCTGGCTGGGCTGCCCTGCTGCTCGGCCCCTCCCTGGCTGGTTCCCACTTGCTCAACCTCTGCCGGCCTGGGGACGGGGCAGAGGGAGATGGTGAGGTCATGTGGGCACCCGCTGGATGATCTTGGACACGTTCCTTCCTTTGCCTTTTGTGCTCTGATTCCACATCTGTATCCACGTGTCAGGGCCACTCCCTCACCGTGGGAACTAGAGCGAGCGCTCGGGAGGCTTCCTTTTTCTGTTAACCCGGTGAGACACCCCTTCAGACTGTGCTTATTTTTTTCCACATTAAAAATAGCTTTATTTTTCTGATTTTATAAATAATATGCACATAAATAATATAAGCTTATTAAGAACCTAAGTTTAAGAGAAGCATGGAACAGACTGTCAAATTACAGTGGGAAGGCTGGGGAGTGTTGGCGGGGGGTAAGAGATCAACCGAAGGACTTGTATGCATATAAGCATAACCAATGGACACAAGACACTGGGGGGTGGGGGGGGGCGTGAGGGCATGTGCTGGGGGGTAGGGGAGGCCGGGGGAAGGTCAATGGGGGGAAAAAAAGGAGACATATGTACTAGTATCTGTAATACTTTAAACAATAAAATAAAATTTTAAAAATTATACTATAAAAAAATACAAATGCTGTTTGGGGAAAAAAAAAAAAAGAACCTGAGTTTATAAAAGTATGAACAAGCAAAGCAGAGTCACCGGAAATATTACCACCTTAGAGAAGTACCATCAATATTTTGACTGCCATTCTTTCATATTTACATATTTTATTTTATAGTGACTGTGCTAAATATTAGATAATTTTTATTGAGGACACCTTTCCGCTCACATCACTGACCTCACATCCCACCCCTGCCCCCCACTCCAGTCTAGGTAGCACATATGACATCTAGTGCTGGCCTTCCATATTCTTCTCTGTTCATACATCGAATAAAATTCTACGCAGATTGTATGTAGGTACATGTACGTGTGTATATGGGGAGTGGGAGGGGAGTTGGTCAAGGCTTCCAATAAATGGAATCTTCTATATTACATTTTTGCATTTTGCTTCTCTCCCTCTGCAATGCCTTGTGGGAATTCCTCCGATGTCTTATAGCTCCAGTTTTTGTTTGTTTGTTTATCCTCATCTGGGGATATTTTTCCATTGATCTTTTAGAGAGAGTGGGAGAGGGAAAGACAGAGAAACATCGATGTGAGAGAAACACATCGATTGGTTGTCTCTTGCACGTGCCCTAACCAGGGCCCAGGCCGGAGCCTGCAACCAAGGTACATGTCCTTGACCGGAATTAAACCCAGGGTCCTTTGGTCCACTGGCCGGCACTCTATCCACTGATTTGGCTAGGGCATAGCTCCAGTTTTTATTTTTATTTTTTAATATATTTTATTGATTTTTTACAGAGAGGAAGGGAGAGAGATAGAGAGTTAGAAACATCGATGAGAGAGAAACATCGATGATCAGCTGCCTCCTGCACATCACCCAGTGGGGATGTGCCTGCAACCAAGGTACATGCCCTTGACAGGAATCGAACCTGGGACCTTTCAGTCCGAAGGCTGACGCTCTATCCACTGAGCCAAACCGGCTAGGGCATGGCTCCAGTTTTTAAATGGGGATGATAGGAGGGTGGTTGTGATAACTAAATGAGATGTATTTGCAAAGAACTCAGCAAATGGCAGATACAGAACAGAGACCCCCCCCCAACTGGTCCCCCGCATCCACTTCCCCTCAGGTGCTAGGGCAGGGAGGGGGACAGAAACTACATGAGACTCAGCCCCTGCCCATAAGGAACTCCTGACCAGGAGGAGGAGAAAAGAGAAATTCTGAGGTGACCTCACTTCCAGGTGGGATGTGATTAGGCCAAATGAAGGGCGGGGAGGGGGAGGGGTATCTCAGTTACATGGCTCTGCCAGCTGAACACCTACTGTGTGTCCAGCCCTGTGCCAGGTCTGGGTGGGTGAGACAGAGGTTACAAGATCTCTGTCCTCTGTCAGGTAGGGAACTGAGACCAGTCTCTGAGAGCCCCAGGCAATTTGGCACCTGCCTGCCATTTCTTGGGGCCCCATTGATGTGCAATAGGGAGTGAGTGCCTGGGCCACGGTGATGAGCAGAGCCAGGGACCCAGGGCAAGAGGCCAGAGCCAGGACTTTTTTTTTTTTTAAATATATTTATTGATTGATTTCAGAGAGGAAGGGAGAATGAGAGAGAGAGAGATAGAAACATCAATGATGGGAGAGAATCATCGATCGGCTGCCTCCTGCACGCCCCCTACTGGGGATTGAGCCCGCAACTCAGGCATGTGCCCTTGGCCGGAATCAAACCTGGGACCCCTCAGTCCGCAGGCTGACACTCTATCCACTGAGCCAAGCCGGCTAGGGCAGGACTTTTTTTTTTAATCCTCACCCAAGGATATTTTTCCCATTGATTTTTAGAGAGAATAGAAGAGAGGGAGGAGGGGGAGAGAGAAACATGGATGTGAGAGAGACACATTAATTGGTTGCTTCCTGCACAGACAACCGAGCTACGTGCTCTTGACCAGGAATCGAACCTGAGACCCTTCAGTCTGTGGGCCAACACTCTAACCACTGAGCAAAACCGGCCAGGGCCAGAGCTGGGACTTCGGGCCTGTCATTCAGGTTCCCGGGCCTCAGTTTCCCCTCTTGTAAGAGAGAGGCTTGGCGTTGGGGATCCAGGCCCGAAGGTGCGGCGGGCCTATGACTGAGCACATGCTCCCTCCAGCAGGGCCCTGCACTGGGGCTCCCAGGGCTGGCACAGGGGGCCCAGCAGTGAAGTCCTTCTGTCCCTGACTTGTACCCTTGGTGTGTCTTTCAGCTCCTCAGCCCGGGACCAGGGAGACGCCCACAAGGGCAAGACCAGGGAGCACGCTGCCTGCACGATCACCTTTCTGCTGCCAGTTCCAGTTCTCCACCCTTTGGGGAGAGTGTGACTTTCCTTATCTCAACCCCCTGACTTCAGCAACAGTCCATCTTTCTTTTTCCAAGTCCTTGGGCCAACTTGGTGACCACGCCCCATACCCGCTCTTAGCCCTTTGCAGGGTTTTGGTGCCTGAAAACTGCCCTCTGGGTGTTTCCGGTGGCGGGAGGAGGCCGCAGGAGCCTGTCGTCGGCGAGTGGACGGTCTCTGGCCTCGGCAGCCAGGCCCGGGCGGTGAAGTCACTATGTCCACCAAGGCGCCCATCTATCTGAAGCGTGGCAGCCGCAAGGGCAAGAAGGAGAAGCTTCGGGACCTGCTGTCCTCGGACATGATCAGCCCGCCGCTGGGGGACTTCCGCCACACCATCCACATCGGCAGCGGCGGCGGCAGTGACATGTTCGGTGACATCTCCTTCCTGCAGGGCAAGTTCCACCTCCTCCCAGGGACGGCAGTCGAGGGGCCCGAGGAGGACGGCACCTTTAACCTCCCCTTCCCGTTCACCCCCGCCACCCTGTGTGGCCAGGAGCTCCCCCAAGGGCCGTCCCCTCTGCTCAAGAACGCCATCTCCCTCCCAGTCATCGGAGGGCCCCAGGCCCTCACCCTGCCCACCACCCAGGCCCCACCCAAACCCCCGCGCCTGCACCTGGAGACCCCTCAGCACTCCCCACAGCCCTCCCCGCAGGAGGCAGGGAGTGTGGACATGTGGAGAATTCCAGAGGCTGGCTCAGCCCCAAACGGGCTGACCCCCGAGTCAGGGGCCGAGGAGCCCTTCCTGTCCCACGCCAGCTCCCTGCTCTCCCTGCACGTGGACCTGGGGCCGTCCATCCTGGACGACGTGCTCCAGATCATGGACCAGGACCTGGACCACATGCGGATCCCCACATAGGACCAGGCGAGCCAGGCTGGAAGCCGAGGCTGGGGTGAATGCCGGAAGCGGGGGGACATGGCCCTGGCCTGGAAGTCGGGATCCCAAGTCCTGCTCGTGTGGTCACTGGCCAGAGATGTCTCACTTTGAGCCTTTGTTTGCCTCCCTCCCACCCTCTCCCCATGGGCAGAGTACATCTCATTGCTTTCCCATGAAACCCACGAGGACACGTGCAGAACTCAGCCCACCAACTGCTCCTCCTTCCCTCCGACCTGTTGGGTGAAGGCTCTGCAACAGTGGACTCCCCTTTCACCTCCCTTCTGCCTCAGCCCCCTCGGATGCCCTGATTGGGGGGCAGGGAAGAGGCAGGGCACAGACCTTTGGTGTCATGTCCCGGGCGGGAAGCATGGCGTCAATGACCGAATACCCCTCTCCCCCATCCCCTTCCACATGACCAAGGGTTCTGGTCGCAATAAAACCTGCTGCTGCTCATAGCTGTGCTCCCTGTACCCTTGTCCCTGAAGACGGGCCAGTCTGCAACCTGGGCTGACCCTGGGGGAGACCCCAGCTCCTGGCGTTGGGAGATTTTACCTGATTCTGAGGGCCTGGGACTGGGAGGGACCCGACAGTACTCTCGATGCTGTTGATGGAGCACCCGCAGTGTACGTGGCATGCTCCAGGCGCTGGGGACACAGGCAGACATGATCCCTGCTCTCCTGAAGCTAATGTTCTAGGAGGAGAAAGATGCTAAATTTGTAAGCAAGTAAACTGATTCCCAATAGTGTTGGACACTATGAAAACACAATTGCATCGGAAATGCCTGGGGCAAGGGGTACGGTGGTGTCCGGGGACATTAGGATGATCACACGTGATTCGAAGCCAAACCTAGGGCACTTATTAATAGGTACTTGTTCCCTGCAGATATTCTTTTTTTTTTTAAATATATTTTATTGATACTTTACAGAGAGGAAGGGAGAGAAATAGAGAGTTAGAAACATCAATCAGCTGCCTCCTGCACACCTCCTATCCTATTGGGGATGTGCCCACAACCAAGGTACATGCCCTTGACCGGAATCGAACCTGGGACCTTTCGGTCCACAGGCCAACGCTCTATCCACTGAGCCAAATCAGTTAGGGCCCCTGCAGATATTCTTATGCCTGTCTTTACCTTCTTTAAACACAGTAAGCAGTGTTACTTTACGGCCATTATCAGATATTCCAGAATCTTAAATCTTTGTGGGTCAATTTGTGTTTCCTGTTGTTTGTATCAGTTCTTGTGCAGGGTTTCTTATTTCTTTGTGTGCCTGATTACCTTTGACTACGGACTGAATATCATATCTGAAAAATTGTTTTTAGAAATAATTTGAAGCCTTGGATGACAGTACATTCCTTTACAGAGGACATTGCTTGGTACCAAATATGCTTGCTTCTGCCAGGTGACCAGGGGCATGATAAGGATGGGTCCAGTTTAATCCAAGTTCAAGGCTTAAGAGTCCCTGGACCACCAGGTAATATGATTCTGGGCTACATGTTCATACAAGTAGGGGTCCCATCTTAAAGTGTGTGTGTGGGGGGGTATCTGACTTCCTCCCTTGGGCAGGCTCTGGGTTTTGATTTTTGGCCCCCCCGCCCCCCACCAAAGACTGCCAAACAACAGCTCAGTTTCACAGTCATATCTTCCAGATCGGTAAATGCCTCCAGAGTAAAAATTGCTTTGAATTCTGGGCTTACCTCTCTGGGTTTGAGCCTCCTAAATGTTGGCTCAGTGATTCTTCACTATATGGTTAGTTTTTCAATGCTTTTAAGATTTTTTTGTTCACTTTCTCTGATTTTTCATTTTTCTTTATTGGGAATGTTGGAATTAAACACCTAACCAGGAGCCTGTCTCCAATGAACTGAATGTAAATATTAAGAAAATCCCCGCGCTGCCTCCTTTTTCCCTCCCTCCTCCCCAGCGGTGTTCCCCCTCCTCTCCCCTCGCCGCTGGGGAGGAGGGAGGGACAAAAAGAGGCAGAGATACTCATTGTAACGCTCAGAAAGGGTGCTCCCTATTCCCTTGTGTCAGCCAAAGGCTGTGACTAGAAACATCTCCCAAAAATGTTTACTAGCTAAGAACCAACTTAATATAAAACTCTGCATACACTAATTACATGTTTAGGTGCAGTTACCTGGCAGACCAACTTGCACTATTATTCTGGCTTATTCCACTAAAATGTATATGTTGTGTAAGTATTTAGAGTAGGTCTTACTGTGCAAACAAAAAAATCCTGCAGTTCTGTTTCTGCATGGCCTGGCAAAATCTGAGCCACTGCAGCCTTACTGAAGCACTGGAAAGAAAAGGGCTTCAGAGTTACAGGACATCGCTCCTGAAAAGTGGGCTTTGAAAACTGGGGCATCAAGAAATTGCTTTGCCATGGCCCCATGTCTCCGTTGGAGCGTCCCATACACCAAGAAGGTTGTGGGTTCAATCCCCAGTTGGGGCTCACACAGGAGGCAACCAATCTCTCTCTCTCCCTCTCTCTCTCTCTCTCTCTCTCCCCGCCCCCTCTTTAAAATCAGTAAACATAACCTTGGGTGAGGATTAAAAACAGAAGTTGCTTTATGTCCCTGCGGCTTAAGAGCTGAAGAGCCGATGCTCTATCCACGGAGCCAAACCAATCTGCACTCTTCTCCTCCCTTTTTTTTTTAGGGCCTAAAGTAGAGGGTTTCAATCACCTTTTTTGTGGTGGATTCAACTAAGACCACTTGTTGAGGTTAAACCACTCACATCTGCCTCTTGTTGATCACTGAGAGAGAGAGAATTCTACAGGCCCCCTGTAGTTCAATTCTGAAATACCTACATGAGGAGAGAGAAAAGGAGAATATGTCATTTTTTTCCATGTCTCTAATATTCAGAAATATTCCCCCGAGAAAATTGGGGAGAACAGACAGGGAATAAGGTTATGTGTGCCTAGCTCCTGATAAGCCTCCTCAAACTCTGAAAGAACAGGATAACTCCCTGTGGACTATAAGGCATCTCTGGTCAGCCTCGGTCTTGAAGAAAGTCTTGGCTAAATAGTCCTTTTCCAGAGAGCAGGTTGCCTAACTTAGTGAAGAAGTTGCACCATGGGTATGTTTTCCATCCCATTCCTCTGACCTCATCCTCTTAGATTTCTTCTCCGCAAAGCCAATTGAACAGTTGTATCTCAGACTCAGGTTCATCTATTTGCTTTAACATAACCCCTCAATTGAAAATTGAAAACAATTCAGGAAGGAAGACTTGCAACAGAAATGGCATCTGTGAATGCTCTGGAAATTAATCCGTTATACACATCATTCTTTTTGAGGTTGTTTTATCTGCCTTCTGAAGAACTCAGAAACTCAATGGCAACTTGAAACAGAACCCAATTTAGTCCTGTCATTAGACCAAGAGGGTTTTATTCTCCCTGGTCCTCTGTCAGATTTTAAATGGATGTGGTTTTATTCCCCTTCTCATCTAATACTGGAACATATCCATCCACAGCAAGATCTCACTTTTAAATGATGTTCTTGTATTTCAAGAGACCTTTTACAGGGGAAAAGTAATAGCTCCACTCTAGACAAAGCTCATGGCTGGAAAGTGAGTCTATTTATCTCCAAAGATTCAACAAATTCTTACAAAGTGTTGAGCCCAAATTCTTGGTGGCTAGAGGAGGAGGTGGGGTTCTGAAGGGGGACATGACTTGCTCAGAGTCACATAGCTAGGTTAGTGTGTCACCTGTGTACTTTCTTTTTTTATTTTATTTTATTTTTTATTGTTTTATTGCTTAAAGTATTACAAAGAGTATTACATATGTCTCCTTTTTTCCCCGCCCTTGACAATCCCCTAGCCTCCCTACCAGCCAGTGTCTTGTGTCCATTGGTTATGCTTATATGCATGCATACAAGTCCTTCGGTTGATCTCTTATCCCTACCCCTCCTGCCCCCCAACCCTCCCCGGCCTTCCCGCTGTAGTTTGACAGTCTGTTCGAGGCTGTTCTGCCTCTGTATCTATTTTTGTTCATCAATTTATAATGGTCTTTATTATCCATAAATGAGTGAGATCATGTGGTATTTTTCCTTCATTGACTGGCTTATTTCACTTAGCATAATGCTCTCCAGTTCCATCCATGCTGTTGCAAATGGTAAGAATTCCTTCTTTTTTACAGCAGCATAGTATTCCATCATGTAGATGTACCACAGTTTTCTAATCCATTCATCTACTGATGGGCACTTAGGCTGTTTCCAGATCTTAGCTATGGTGAATTGTGCTTCTATGAACATAGGGGTGCATATATCCTTTCTGATTGGTGTTTCTGTTTTCTTGGGATATATTCCTAGAAGTGGGATCACGGGGTCAAATGGGAGTTCCATTTTTAGTTTTTTGAGGAAACTCCATACTGTCTTCCATAGTGGCTGCACCAGTCTGCATTCCCACCAGCAGTGCACGAGGGTTCCTTTTTCTCCACATCCTCTCCAGCACTTGTCGTTTGTTGATTTGTTGATGATAGCCATTCTGACAGGTGTGAGATGGTACCTCATTGTTGTTTTGATTTGCATTTCTCGGATGATTAGTGACTTTGAGCATGTTTTCATATGTCTCTTGGCTTTCTGAATGTCCTCTTTTGAAAAGTGTCTATTTAGGTCCTTTGCCCATTTTTTTTATTGGATTGTTTATCTTCCTTTTGTTAAGTTGTATGAGTTCCCTATAAATGTTGGAGATTAAACCCTTATCAGTGATAACATTGGCAAATATCTTCTCCCATGCAGTGGGCTTTCTTGTTGTTTTGTTGATGGTTTCTTTTGCTGTGCAGAAGCTTTTTATTTTGATGTAGTCCCATTTGTTTATTTTCTCTTTAGTTTCCAATGCCCTAGGAGCTGTATCAGTGAATAAATTGCTTCAGCATAGGTCTGAGATTTTGTTGCCTTTGGATTCTTCTAGTATTTTTATGGTTTCCCGTCTTATGTTTAAGTCCTTTATCCATTTTGAATTTATTTTTGTGTATGGTGTAAGTTGGTGGTCTAGTTTCATTTTTTTGCATGTATCTGTCCAATTTTCCCAACACCATTTATTGAAGAGACTATCTTGACTCCATTTTATGTTCTTGCCTCCTTTGTCAAATACTAATTGAGCATATTGGTTCGGGTCGATTTCTGGGCTCTCTATTCTATTCCATTGATCTATATGTCTGTTCTTGTGCCAGTACCAGGCAGTTTTGAGAACAGTGGCTTTGTAATACTGCTTGATATCTGGTATTGAGATCCCACCTACTTTGTTCTTTCTCAGGATCGCTGCAGCTATTCGGGGTCTTTTTTTATTCCAGATGAATTTTTGGAGAGTTCGTTCTAGGTCTGTGAAATATGCCGTTGGTATTTTAATGGGAAGTGCGTTGAATTTATAGATTGCTTTGGGTAGTATGGACATTTTAATGATGTTGATTCTACCAATCCAAGAACATGGTATGTTCTTCCATCTGTTTATGTCTTCCTCTATCTC